CCCCCCCCTTCCTCTAGGAATGGGCCTCGCGCGGCCTCGCGGTCCCCGGTCTTGGCTTTGTTCCAGTGCGTAAGCATTCGGTTCGATAGGGCGATCGGCGTGATAAGAGCGGCGGCGTGGCGCGCTTCCAAGGATAACTCAAATAGGGAGGATGGGAGAAAGCAGTCAGGTCCTTATTACACCGTGAGAACCCCCATTCTTACTCGTCAATGCAGTCCGAGTCTATACATTGTGCTTTTAATAGGGTACTTCAGATGAGCGAAGTAGTGGCGGGAAGGATCTGCCGAGCTGCTACTTCCAAATCTGCCTCAGACTACGCATGCGCAGAAGAATTATAAAGCCCTCACTCTCGCACGCGACAAAAATATCCGTGTGGAGCAGGGGGGAGGGGGGGGCATACCGTAGTTCTGCTGTATAATATTAAAGTTCTTCGGTCGACGAATCGGACAATTTCACATTTTCCCGACTTTAGCTTCCCCCAACCCCCTTCCCTCCCCTTCTTCCCTTTCTTTTGGGTTGGGGGATTGAAATTGAAACGTTTGCCGGACGAGGAATCTGCAGGGAAGAGCGGTGCTAATCAGCGCTTCATCTACCACACTACAGCGTGGTTACCGGCGCTTCCCAAGCTTCCCCCCCCCCCCTTCCCACCTCCTCGATTATGAACCCGTGTGGCGTGGCTGCGGAAGAAAATAAAATTCTAGTTAGGTCATGAATATATTTCTCTTCAGCTGCTTGATTAGGGATTCCACGGGAGGGTCGCAGTGGCAGTATCACGTTCAATGAATCAGTGTGCACTAATGACCTGACTATCTCCTGCCCTTTCCTCGTTTTTCTTTAGCACTATGTTTCAATTTCACCTCATTTCCCTCCTGCTCTCTCGTTCCTCGCACTCTAACGTCTTTTTTGCCCGCTCTTCGCGACGGCTTGTGGGAAAAAAGAAGTTAAAAAACAACAAAAAATAAACAAAAACGCTGCGGTGGAAACTGGTGGAAACGGCGTGCGGGACTGCGCCAAGTCCTCTTTAAACATTCCTACTTTTGTTTTCCTTTTTTGCGTAAAGTAATTATATGCTTTGAGATTAACGCGCTTTCTTCTTCCATCTTTATTCCAACTTAATTACCGCCTGCGTGACATGGTCAGACTTGTGGGTTTGTAACGGTCAGAGAGGGAGGGTGGACCGAGGTGGGAGGGACAGATTCACAGATTGCACAGATGGGCCGCAAAATCCCCAGCACCACCTCTTAGTGCCACGGCCTGGATTTGTGTCGACACCGTGTTCATGCGGCTTTACTGTGGACTGTGTGCAAAATTAGTCACATATCAAAATTATCTTTCCATATTCAAACTTAACTGCGAGGTTCAAATTTTTATTTAATGTGTAGTTTAAGAGATGTGCTTACCCCATCGGGGCACCCACACCCACACAATAGCACGCCAGCCCCAGGGCAAGGTCCAGACGCCCCCTCCGCACTTCTCGCCCCACTACCACAGGGGAAACATCACAGTTTGCAACTCGAAACAAGTTTGCCGTCTGGAGTAAATCTAAATCAAATTAGCGAGCAATGCCGTCAGCGCGCATCCCCAATAATATGCAGGGCGGCAGGGCCGCGCGCGCGCACGGGTGTGTGTAGGCGCGCGTCGAAGTCAGAGAATGGTGTCACACGACTCACTCTCGTAAAAGAAAGAGTTGGTAAATAAGAAAAAGGGAGGCTCAGAAAACTTTTGGGGTGCATAATCAGAGCGCAGATTTGTCGCGACTTTATTGACCCCCCCCCCCCTTCTCTCTCTTACTCCCTGTCTATCTCTTCCTCTCCCTCTCGTTTTCAATTGTCCATTTTAGTTGTAGGAGTGGGACAGATGAAGGAAAAGGGGGGGGGGGAGGGGCACATTGTATAGATGCCCTTATGTTAACGGGACTGTGAAGTCGCCTTTCAAAGGTGTACCCTAATAAAGACGTATTCCATTCTATTCTATCCCAGTCTGAGATCTGAGGAGACGGAAACGGGAAGCGGGGTCGTCTATTAGTTCCGAGCAAGCAAAGTTACAGCTGTTTGCGGTTGATGGACGCCACCTTTTGGTGGCTGTTCTCCTCCACCCCCTCTCTTTTCCCTTCACTCTACCCTCTAACACTAAACTATTGAAAATTATGCACCTGCTCTTATTTCGTACACTGAAAAATTTATACTTGTCCCAAACAATAGTGTGTGATATTGTTGGTCACATTTTGACACGCTCTTTTTAGTGTTCGAGTGTCACACACTACTGTTTATAGAGTATCTTGCCATTCTAACAGCCATTCGGTTGCTTGATGCATTATTGTATTGAAACACTGCGTATGTTTGTCAGTTGTGCTGTAGCTTATTGAGCCTTTGTCCTGTTCCAGGGACCGGTGCGCTTCTACGACAACGAGAGAAAAGCCAGCATTCTCCTGAAGCAGTTTCAAGGTGAGTGGAAATGTGTCCTGTCAGTGCACCTACTCAAGTGCTGAAAAATGTTTCAACAGTTGACAACAGCCAAGGTTCACAGCAACAAAAAAAATTCTTAGATTTGTTTTACAAAACTCATTTCTATGAAACGTTGCATCTCTACTGCTAGCATAATATATTCTAGTCCTTATCATCTCAACAACATATTAGTATTATTATCACGTATGTGACAGGTGGTGAAGAGATCAAGGTGGGCGAGTTCAACGGCGTGACTGAGCAGCTGGACCTGTCGCGGGGCCAGCCCGTGCTGTGGCAGGGTGGCCGCGGCATACCACCTAAGGACCGCACGCTGCAGCAGATTCAGCACTCACAGATCAACCTCACCGTGTACGTGCTGCTCGCCTCGTGCGCGTCGGTCGGCATGCTCCTGGGCTCCTTCTTCCTCATCGTCAACATCCGCTACCGGGACCAGAGGTGAGTCGGCATCACTTTTTAGCTCAGCAAGTAGTGTGACCTCATTGTCAAAGCTTATTCTGACAATCGCGAAAATCCTGATGCGATTACTATATAGTAAAAATGTATATTCAAAATTGGTTATCGTATGTTTTAAAGTCTTTTGCTGCTATTCACCAATCGTAATTTTAGGACAAATTTTTCGTGTCGGATCTAGAACTTATCCATTCAAAGTCGCTTACTAATACCGTAAAATAAATGTAAGGTAATCCGTGCGTGTTAGGAGAAGGTGTAAACAAAATAAAACTTTGTGAAAGCCAATTACGCGATCGACGGATATCGCTCTACGTCAGACCAGTGCTGCTTTTCTTTCTGCTCAGGCCTCTGGGCTGGACGGGGTGGGCCAAGGAAATGATGTGCCACAGAATGACTGACGGCACGGTTGATTCACAAAGCCAAACTTTTTCCCACTTTTTTTTTACTGAAGAGACAGAGAGTGGTGAAGGGGCCAGGCGAAGAGAGAAGGGAAGTAGGGTGATGAAGCGGAGAGGGGGGGGGGGCAGTGGCACGCCTTGGCCGGTTTTCATTCCACAGTCAAGATTGGCTCGAGCAAAAGGATCCCTAACAAGTCGGAAGAAGGGACAGAGAGAGGCGGGTGGATGAAGGTGGGTGGAGGCGAATAAGTCCGCGCGCGCAGTACTATACTTGGCTTTCTTACAATGACTTTCATTCCCCGGTGGCAAATATTTGCACGGGGCTGACAGGCGGAGCCCGCCACGCGCCGCCACGCCGTGTCTGGAGTGGCACTCGGACACGATCGTCGATTTGCAAGTGTAACTAGGGATGGCAGCGAGCGCGCGTCACCTGGTCCAATGCGTCTCGTCTCTCTCTCTCCCTCTTCCTCCTCCCGTTTCAGCAGCAGCGTCTTGCCCAGCGGCGGCAGCGGGTTTACAATGGTAAGGTATTTAAACACTACTTAAAAGTTGATAAAAAAAATATCTTGACAGTGTAGGGAGGGTCTTTCCCCCAGCGGAGGCTAGGGGCCATTAGCGCTCAGACAAACCAGCAGTGGCGGCAGCCTCTGCTCGAGCCTCTGCTCTCCCCAGGGACGGACGGGTGCATTTTATTATTCGATGTCGCTCCGGGGCGGAAGTGAACAGTGGCACGGGCAGGAAGGAAAGGGCTCGCAGACCGGCGGGGCTGGGCGCCTGCTGAGCAGCTCACCAGGTATTGTCAGCTTGTATAGGATTTTTTAGGAGAGCACTAGGAGGCCGACAAGGGCGCGGCCGTCTCCAACAAGAGGGAGATAAACGCGAAAGCGAAACAAGGAGATGAAGAGTAGGAAAATCATGTTGATTACGAACGGCGTTTTGGTTTTTGTGTTGAGAGCACTGTTTGCATTTGGTTTCGTTTCTATGTAATTTATTTTCTCTCCTCCCTCTCTCCCTGTCCCTCCCAAAACCCCCGTTGTTCGCGTTGCGCTGCGCTCGCGGCATAGTCGTTCCACATGCAGGGATACGAGCTGTGTGCCCTGAATGGTGTAGCTCATGGTGGCGGGGCGGTGCCGGACTGGGCTGCTGGGCAAAGTGTGTGCTTCTTTTATCCACGGGCGGATACACAGCTTGTGTTCCGAAAATGGCGGTAAGTGTAGAGATTTGAGTTTAAAGGTCGAAAATAAACAGGAAAATTTGCGGGGAAAAAAACGAATTTTGAAAGTTTTGAAAAAAGCCCCATATTTATTTATTTTCAAATTTTCACGAAAACCCGGAAATAACGTTTTCTTTCCAAAAACATTAACTTGTTCGGAAAATTAAAATCTCTCCAGGTAAGTGTAGTGAACACTGCGTGGTAGCGCGGGGCCATAGTTAGGGCGCGAAGGGGGGAATCTGGGTCCCAAAACTCGCGCGCCAGGGAAGAAGACGCTTGTCGGAAGTTTAGCGCAAGGTTACGCCGTTGCCTCCATGACGTCCCCCTCACCGATCTCTCTTGTTTGCCCCTCTTCTCTCTGTCTCTCTCTCTCTCTGCCTCCTCCCCACCACCACCTCAATCTATCCCGACCTCCCTCCTCTCTCCCAGACGTAAATGAATGCGTTTTAGTGGCCATTTAACGCGGCTTCATGTCCGTTAGAGGCGCTGTACTCCGTCCGCACCGGCCGCCGTACGCGTCGCGCCAGCCGATGCCGCCGCATTCGAATCGACTTTTCGACGATAAAATGGAATCGGTTCTTAAGGAAATTGGATGCGTGCTGGTAGGGGGAAAGGGGACTGGGGGGGGGGCACAGCTGCACAGGCGGCCGGCAGCCCGGTCGGCAACTCGGCAACCTGGCCGGCAGCGGAATGGCATCATGCTACTGGTTACGGCCAACGGCGGGACTCCTTATTCTGTTTCATATAGCCCGTCCCTGTCCCGCCTGCAGGGGATATTGTGCCGCTGGGGCGGGAAATGGAGCCGAGTATAGAAAGAGACGGCACGCACACACACACAAACACTCGCACACACGGGCACTGGCGTAATTCATGGATGACCCGCGCCCGGAGCAGGTCGACGCGGAAGGCTTTTCCGAAGGAGGCGGTCCTGCTTCCGACGGTTGATGAATGAGCCGGAATGATGGCATTAGTGTAGTCAACAGCTCGAGTGTGGGGCTGTGCCGGCCGCCCCGCCCCCCCCCCCCCCCACCTCACCTCACCTCCCCCTTTTCCGGGGGAGACGGAGTGGGGATTAGTTCCGTGTTGAGGTGCGGTCGGAGCCGACCGGTCAGTCGATGAATACCAAGCAGCAGCAACAGCAGCAGCCGCAGCAGCAGGAGGAGGGTCAGGAAGCGAGGGGCACACAGCAATGGTGGTACTTCTGTGTTGCTCTCAGGAAGTGGTGTACTCTGTAACGCAAAGACGCCATATTCCTTTTCAATTGAATTGAGGTGAGGTCCGTCTCAATGCATGAGCTGGATATGGCCTCGTAGAACATAGAATACGTATTACTTGTTACAAGATATCTTGTACTAGAGTCTCAAAATCACATCGCTAAGTCGTAAGAATTACTAGACCATACAACCAAAACCGCACGTCATTCTGAGTCAAGACTATTATTCCTTGGATGTGCTCTCTCCCCAAACATTTCAGAACCTTGAGGTGGGTTAATAAGACAAGTTTGTCACAAACATAAATTACGCCTGTTTAAACAAACCCGTTACGTGTCACTTCGACGCGATCACTTGTTGACATTTCCAAGTAAATAAATCCAACAATCAGCATTGTACCGGAAGCCCCCGCCCGCCTACACTATGGATCTGATTTCTTTTCGTTGTGGGGCTGACTCCTTAAAGGGTTCATGTTGATGCTGGCCCCCTCCCCCCTCCGCCCAACCCCTTTTCCCGGACGGGCCTAAATGCGTGCAAACCCTCGGGAGTCATTAAGCACGTCACCAAGTTGGTTAATGGTGATAGTGGTGCGTCCGCAGTCCTGTGGGTGGGGCCGGGCCAGGCCGCAGCAGGCCTGCGAGCGAGAGGCCAGGGCGGATCCTGCTGCGGGCCTGGCCTGTCGGCCCGGGCGACAGCAGCAGGAGAAAAGGCGGCAGGCAAATTGGGCGAGGAGGAGGGGGAGGGGAAGATCCTCTCTCGCCCCTTCATCGCTAGCATCACTCAAACAGAGTGAGGTGGCAGCGGCTTGACTAGATTTGGTGAGGGGGGAGGCGCTTGGGGGGGGGGGGGGGCACTTCCAATAAACGATCCAAAGTTTTTAAAAACAATGTATGTTTACGCCTGATGATTTGTCAATCGTCAATTTCGACATCTCACCAATTGTAAGAAGTAAGAATCACCTACTGAAATAACACCATATTGCATTTCATTTGACTGTTTATGCACTGAGGTGGCTGTGATTTTCAGCACCCTGCCCTGCCGTGTCTTCTTCTCGATATAACGATGTCGTTTGCACCTGCGACATGTCATTTATCCCGGCAGGCTGCCCGGCAGATGCTGCATGAGCTGCCAGATTATTTTTTTTCATTATTATTATTTTTTTGTTGTTTTCCATTTTCACGCGGAGGCCGCACTGCAGCGCTGCAGCCTGCCGGGCCGCCGCATTCATCACTCTTTATTATTTGTCGCGCCCGCGCGGTCGGGCCTCGCGCTGCCTCGTGTGCAGATCTGTATTCTCTCTCTGTTTTACAGTATGATCCGCGTTATTTATTGTAATTATAGCGCGTGTCGGCTCACGCGGCTGATTATACGGGTGGAGGGTGAGTATGGAGTATGCGCGGGGAGGGAGGGAGAGGGAGAAAGG